AAAAAAGTCAGTGCAGTATTTGGGAGGCCTGTGAACATTAAGAAACACAACTTTGGATGGGGCCTTCAGCTGTAAAGCCACATATTCAAAAGACTGAAAACTTCCAGGAGATAGCTGCTTACATTGAAATGATTCATTAAAGCTTTGTCAAAGCTTGGAAGGCACCTAAAGAAAGCTCTAGCCGATCCAGGAGAGAAGGACAACCGCTGCCTAAGCGAAAACCTGTAGTGATCTTGTATGTGTCAGGAGTATCGGAACAGTCGTGACACATTTTTTCTAAACACCAGGTCTCTGTGGCTTTTAAACCCCAAAACACGCTGCGTCAAAACTTTGTCCACCCCAAGGATCGGGTCCCCCAACACAAACAGAGTAACATAGTGTACGCTGTTAAGTGCCAGGAGGATTGCCAGGATTTATACATCGGGGAAACCAAACAACCTCTGGTGAAGCCTATGGCACAACACAGAAGAGCTACCTAGTCAGGCCAGGACTCTGCAGTCTATTTACACTTACAGGCCAATTGAATTGTAGACATCCTGGACAGGGAGGAACACTGATTTAAGTCAAGAAGGCCATTTACGTGAAAAGGGAAAGACCATCTCTGAATCAAGGGGGGCCTAAGGGTACATCTTTTGCCATCTTACAATGCTGTGACTGCAGCCATTCCCCAACTCTCTGTGAATGGTACTCATGGCCCTTGATCAGTGGTCCTTGATCAATGGCCATTGATTGATGGGCTTTTATCAGTGACTGTTGATCAATGGTCATAACAATTTGCATATTAATGATCAAGGAACTGACCTCCCAGCCCACTGTTCATTCACTGAGCTAGTTTCAGTTATTGTGCAATTTACTGTTTATGAGGTTGAGGAAACCTGCAGTCAGCTGAGGCTGAAGAAGTCCTTGGATGACTGATGAAAATTTTCTCCCATTGAAAACGCTACGTCCAGATGAACAGAATCAACCTTTTAGGATTTACTTAGTTGGATGACTGAGCATGCATGAAGACAACCACAGTTTTGGTTCTTGTGCAGTCATTTCCCTTGTTGGAGAGTTTAAAAAAATGACGGTCTTGATTTTTGTAAAGGAGTCGCTCTCATGACTCATCAAGTGACACCACTCACTGGCCAAATGGTAATATTGAGGAGGGGCTCAGCATAAAACCACTACCCTTTTTGTTAAAAAGAGCCAGCCAGTCTGATTCAGATTTCTGACAAGTGTTCCTCCTACTGAGAGGAGACATCAGGCAGGATACTGAACACGTTGGACAGATTGACGTTTGGCTTGGATATGGTTTGGTATCCACCCTAAACAGCTGGAGGCACATGTTTAAATCTTGGCTCAATACATTCTTCCCCAAAGAAATTAAAGGAACACTCTGAAAACACATGAGATCTAAATGAGAAAAATAAAATCATGTTGGGTGTCCATACTGATATGAAATGGGTAAGGTTTTAGAAACAAAAAGAAGAAAACAGTTTGATTGTTTGATAAAAATTGTTTGATAAAATTTTCATTTCATTTATTGATTGAAAATAAAAATTAGCAGCCTGCAGAGGCCTGACCTCAAAAACCCACCAAATATCTGAGTGAAGAAATGATGCAGCAGCCTTGTAGCAATTCAAACTGGTACTCACGGTGTGACGTAAAGCGGCAGTTAGACACAGCATGGCGTAAATCTGCACAAACATTTACAAATACGCTTGTACTTCTTGAAGTCCACATATGAGTCACACACAGTGCTCCTGTACATGTTTTAACAAGTTTACACTGTATGTTTGTCTTGTGACTGTGCATGTATTTCTGTGTGTGTGTGCGTGTGTGTGTGTGTGTGTGGGTGCGCAGGTCCACAGGCAGCAGGTGGAGGCTCTTCAGCAGCAGTTTAAACAGAGAGACAGTTTGTAATCAAATGGCAGCTGCTGAGTGAAAACTGCCCTAATTAGAAAACTCTGTTATGCCACACTGCTGACTAGTGGTCAGATTATGTACTGCCCCATCAACTACTGAATGCAGACTGGCATACAGCAGACTGTGAAGTAAAATACAGTCTGTGACTTTGTCTGATGTAAATGTATCACATTAGAAACAGTTTTTGAGTATCCAGAACTGTGAACTATTGTTGCTTATCTGAAATAAAATATTTTCTGACAAAATAGTGTCATAAACTATAGCAATACAAAGCTCAGTATACAGGCCAAAAGTTCAGTTTCTTTCTTTAATTTTTCACCTGTCAACTGTGTCTCATCCTCACTGCTCACTATGAATTTAACCAAAAGTCCTTCTAAAAGCATGCCTTGCTGACCGGAGAGCATCAGTTTGAAAAAATAATTTTTAAAAACCACTCAAAGTTTGATAAATTAGCCTCAAAAGATTTCCTTTGGATGGCAAAATTCCACATTAAGGCTTCAGCAGCATGATCAACATATCTGGTTGAGCCCATTACAGCACATTGTGAATGTCGAGCAAGCAGGAAAGAGAAACTATATACAGACAACCACAAGTAATTAGCAGAGTAGTACGTAGCAGGCTGCTGGACCACAGATATTTATGTTATCACACAGTTTAAACTGGTCTGAATCTACTGTGCACGTGCACGAGTGCAACAGCACCATTTGCAACAATCTGCAGCATGTCAGAATTATCCATAGAGCTGAAAGAATTTCATGGACAAGCAGCCACAAGCAATAATCACCTTTAGATTCACCTCTTCAGATTGTTGAACCTGATTAGAGCCACCTGATCAAAAGCTCATGCACATTCACTCATTTGCACAATCAGCACCGCAACAAACTCATATAAGGCCGACCTTTCTGCTCCGTTTGTGAGGCGTTCATCTCACAAAAAAGGAGATTAAAAAGAATCTCACACTACAGGGCTTTAAATAGTTTCTGATCTCAGCAAGCAAAAGGATGATGGGATTATCAGTGCTGTAACATCTCTCTGCTTACATATTGTGCTTTTGTGCCTGTTCTCACCTTCGCCAAGTGCTTTTTCAGAGAGAATTGACTGTAGTTCAGATATCTTTGTTGATGTCTGTGTCTTGTGTAAAATTCATGCATACTGAGGCATTTTGCATGTGTTCCCAACAACAAATGGAACAATTTAAGAATTCATAGTATTAATCGTATTTAAATGTCAGATAAGAAATGAAAGTTCATACAAGTGGTTTTTATTCCTGGCATTGCAAACTCAACACCAAAACAGTAGATAGCCACTCAGACAAGCTGTGCTTTGAGGTCACTTTTTTCTTAACCAGCTATTAACTGAACAAATGACATTGTGGCTTCTGTGGTACTGTTTTCCTGGTGACTTTCAGACATTCATGTACTCTACAGAGACAGAGAAGGACTCACTTGTGTTGTTATGACTATTCTCCACGCTGCCCTCTGCTGATGCCACTTTCTCTGATAAAGAGAGATTTACTGGAAAGACAATTTTACATCTCAGAAATATATTAAGCATTTATTATTTGAGTAAGTATGCCTAACATGCCATGGAAGACAGGAAATGGACTGAGATACGCAATAATAGATTCCAAGTGTGTATCATGTTGCTGAATATGCTTGTTTTAATGTTTTTTCCCCCCCTTTACAACTTGTTTCTATTGTACAGAAATTCTAGAGTCCACCTTTGTGTCTGCAGTGCAAATCTTGTCAGTATCAAATTATCCAGGTATATAAAGGACTGTTAAGTGGTTATTAAGCACCCCAGCAATAATTTATGTGAAAGGACAAAAGATGATGTCAAAGCACTGACTGACCTCATTATAAGTTAATGTGGTGCAAACTGATATGTTCCCTGTGCCAGTTCAGTCGCTGCACAAACTTGATTTTTACTTCCCAAAATGCATTAGTTCGTCACATGGAGCATAAAAACATGATTTTTTTTTAAAAATTAAATTGCAGCAGCATAGTGTAAATAAGTCAGTTGACTAACATTTAAGCTAACGTTTCAAACTAATACATCAGATCCTCCCCTCCCGTGTCCATTATGTTTGCGTTCAAAAATCAAACCTAGTTGATTGTGAAAAACCCGGCCGAAGGCTTCATAAATGGGGTTTAACTAACCCAGTGATTGACCTCACGATGGCTGCATCTGTCTTTTATATACAGTCTGTGTGTAGAGCTGATCATGACACACATGTAACAGCTAGCATATGTAAGGTGGAGCTGTGGCAACCAGACACACTGTTAGTCACGTGGCGAGTCAAGGCAGATGTGGGTCATATCTGGGCCTTAACATTTATTGTTTTCTGCTTTATAGCGTAAACCAGAGAAATATCACCTACACATACAGTTTCCTTCTGATATTTGAAGCTTTGCATTGAGTTGTAACTCATTATTATGACAACAAGCAAACTCTACACAGAAAGTTCCCAGCCAGATGGTTGAGTAGAGCAGGGCGATATGACCAAAAATATTTATCACGATATACATTTGAAAGTTTGCGATAACGATATAACTGACGATATAATTGACACAAAATACTTCACAACTCCACAATTTTATTAGTGCAAAAAAAAAAGAACCCATCAATGTATTTTCACTTAAACAAGCAGCTGTTTTTTGCATTAAAGTTATATAAAAATGTAACAGTGCAAATGCAAATTCCTTGCTGACAGTTTAACCAAAAGGCATTTCCGGTGGAAATTGGCCGACATATCCTGAGCATAACCATGTATAACATCCACAAAACTTAAAAAGAGGTTATACACACACAATACGCCGCCGTGCCTTTTTCGCCATGTGCATGTGAAAACAAAGGCACTGCGCATGCACGTTTTACCCATGTTCTATCGTGATATTTCATTTTCTTATCGTTGCATGACATTATACCGGTATTATCGTGAACAGTATGATATGGCCCAGCCCTATGGTAGAGTCAAACTCAGGTCCTTCTTGCTGTGAGGCAATAGTGCTAACCACTGTTCCACTCAACTTTGTAACTTTGTAGAACTTTTGGAGCCTTAGTGATCTCCGTAGAAGTCCACATTTTCACCAGTTTTGTGCAGAACCAGATCAGATGCGTGAGAGCAGCAAAGTTCATGGCAAATCCCCTCTTTCTAATAGATGTTTTCAAAGTTTCAAACAACTTAAAGAGCCACAGTACATTTCAGAGCCACACGACAAAAATGTGTACATTAACTACTTTAATTAGAAAAGAGTCACTGTCTCACAGCCCATTAAAATGTGTGTTCACGTGTGAGTCTGTCAAAGTCCACTACTAACCAATAACGCTTTTTTATAATCATAAAAACAATCAATCACAGATACGTTTGTCTAAAAGTTTCTTTAACAACCACAGGTTTTCGTGTGGGTCGTGCGTTCTAACATAAAAGCTAATCTTGTTCCCGTGACTACAGCATATAAAGAAACTCAATTTACCAGCAAATTTGATCATATTTAACATATAAATGAAATATGTTCTGATGCAAGCTACACAAAGGGCTGTAGGATCCTCACTAATGATGTGTTAGGTCAAATAAACTAACCAACCCTGAAAAGAAACAGCCTGTCAGAGCCTCCAACCCTAAAGAAAACAGTAGAAAAGCACCATGCAGTTTAAGTGAGTATTCATTTACACCAGCTAGAGTATGCCACAGGTTAAGTTGATTTGAAGCATTGGCTGATCAGTGGAGGATCTTTTGGTCCCCACAACAGCGAATCAAAGTCAGTATCAGCATCCTTATCTGCTGTCACCTTCTCTTCTCTCCTGCTCTTCATCTTGTGTCCTTTGCCTGAAACCAACTGTCCAGTTAGGCTCTGAATCTCCTGTAGGACTGTCCTTATGTCCAGTTCGTGCTGCGAGGCTTTCAGAGTAGCCCTGTTAAATGGAAACGTCCTTATGAAGTCTCCAACCTTCACTGGTGGAATATTTTGTCCATTCCCTGTGGTTTTCTCCGCAGTGATCCGAACTGGCTTTGTGCTGTGAACGTTTGAAAAGAGTCAATTGTCATCCCTTTTTAAAAAATTTTAAAGGTTCTCAAACTGGCTTCAGTTTTATGAATTTCAAGGCATAAAAATGCAATTTTCACCAAAATTGTAAAATATTCCAAGTCAGAAGTAATTTAAGCAATAGTAATAGGTCAAACTTTCCACTTTTAAAACCAACGATTTGTTCTTCGTTTGACATTTTGCAAATTTACAGTACCTGTAAATGTTTGGGAGCTTCCAGGACGCAGCAGGCCGTGTGAACGCTTCCTCACTCTCCTGGGTGTCAGGTGTCAAAGAGGAAACGTCTGTCTCTCCTGAGCGCTGCCTCTCAGCTTCAGTTTCAGAGTTGTCATGGTTTGTAACATCAGACCTGTAAAGAGACCCGTTGTTCATGAGGTACGATACAAGAGGCTGACGAGACTGTCTGTTCAACGCTGACTCATTTGTCCTTGAATCCTGGCCCAGTATCGGGTTTTGGGTCTGGTTGGTGTGGAGTTTGATAGCACTGGTGTTAATTATTCTGCATCTAGCTTCACGTATCTTCGATAATTCAAAAGGGGGAAGGCATCTTTGGTAGTTGGCTTCAAGGTCACGCTGTTTAAGCTTACCCCGTTTTGTCTTTTCAGGCTGATGAGACGTTTTTAGCAGAGGGAGAATTTGAGTGTGCGAGCCCTTGTTACCTCTCTTTTTCTTCTGATGGTTTAACGTTGAGAGCACAGGTGCAGACGGGTGGTTCACCTTAAAACAAGGTTGCTTGTACCTATGTTTCCGATAAGCTCTGTCTCTTAAGCTGTCGGTCGATGTGTAGTTCATCATATCAATGACATCACTGACTAGCTTTTTCTTCACTGAAATATCAGCTTGGCAGTCCAGTGTGAGTGCAGGGCTGTAGTTGACCTCCAGCAGCCAGGGCTTAAACTTGGCATCTATGAGGATGTCAAATCCAAACAACTCCACACAATTAGGACAGGAGGGCACTGATGTAGCAATGGCGAGGAGGGTCAGAGTGACGATGTTGTTGATCCTCTGCCACAGAAGCAGCTCGTTGATCTGTTGACTGTGGAGAAAATGTCTGAATTTGCTCATGGTCCACTTACATCCCCGACCCACTCTTCCTTTTTCAGTTTTGTAGAAGGGACCGAACTTGTTGATGCTGGTGTTAGTGAGGTGAGCATACAGGTTATGCAGAGATGACAGGTTGAACTTCTCAGTGGCAAAACGCACCAGGCCTTCTTGATGAATGTACACAGTCAGTGGATGAAAGCTCTTCACACACACATAAATCCTCAAGTCAAACTTGTAGCCGGAGATCAGCAGAGAGCTGCTAATGTACCTCTGAATGACAACAGAGCAATCATAAACCAAGTCCTTAATATCCTCGAAGATGAAGATCCCTCGGCCTCTGGAGAGATCCACAGGCTTAACTATCCAGTAGACCGATGTTCCTCTGGCCAGACGCAGTCTGTTGTACTCAACCAGGAAGCAGGTGTAGTCATTGGGGAGGATGAAAGTGGTGGGACTGAAGTCATAGAGAGCTGAACCAAATGTTGCTTTCATTCTCCTCAGGTTGCGTGCCAAGCAATCCTAAAGAAATCCGAAAGAAATGCAAATAATTCATTTGGTATAAATTCAGGTTTTCTTTTTAAAAATTACTTTGTTGAAAATGATGTAAAATCTTCCCAAATTAACTAAAACTATCAACAGAATGTGAAGAGACAACCACTGACTTTATATCACAAACATTTATGTGGTGTGCTGAAGATATTTCAGAAGTTGAAGTCAAAGGGCGGTAGATTACCACTTTGCACTACAGGATCATGAGAAAGTGAATCAATACAACCTGTATTTAACAAAGAAAGTCATTAAGAATGTTGTTAATTGCATTTTCCACCAGAAAAGACGAAGCCTGTTCAGGAAATAAGGGCAGGGAAAATAAGAAATATCAAAGAGAACAGCACATCTGAAACTCAAACACTGGTATAATGCTGACCCCTGGTGATAAAAGTTTAATCAGCAGAGGGTAACGACAAAAAGTACATTTCTAACGGACCTGTTATGCTCTTCCTTGTTGTTCTCATGTACATACTATTACACTTGGTTGAAGTTTCAGATGAAGTGAGCGTATGTACAAGTAGTCAGAGTCTACTAATCATCCATTTACAATTTTTTTTCTTTAATATTTTGCATTCCTGCCCGGATGGCACAGTGGTAGAGTAATTACCACGGACCCTCACTGCAGGAAGGTTCTAGGTTTGAATTTCCTGGCCCAAAATCATGCTTGTTAGTTGAACTGGTTGCAGATGTGTGAATCCCAGAAGTTATGCTTTGTGCTTTTCCAACATTTCAAGCACTGACACAAAAAATTTTAAACAGCTCAAGAGCTGAGTTTTGTTGTACGAGAGTCGTTTACATTTCTCGACTTAGGAATGAGATTCAAATGAAGAGTTTCTTTTTCTGGTAATATGTCTGTCATGACATGAAGTTTAAAAAAAAAAATCTATGTAGACGTGCACCTTGCGTGTGATGCCAACAGTTTTAGGATGGTGGTTGAGGCGTTGCCACGGCAGCAGGTTGTGATATTGTGAGGTCTGAAATAAAGAGCCTCTCCAGTAAAGGTTCCAGTCTTCCTCCTCACGCTCTCCTTCATTATACTCCTCCCAGCCTCGCTCCAGAAGCACCTCCCTCACCAGCTCGGGGCCTCTGTCGTGCAGTCTGAACACCAAGGATGCAGCCATGCAGCATCACCCACTATAGATACAACAGAATAACGTCAGAATTTTATTGTAACTTAATTTAATAACCTAAGTTACATTAGCATTTTAACATTTATAAAATTGGAGGATGTGGTGTGATATAAAAGGAAATTTAGCATGATAAAGTGCCATATAGGAGAAATAGTCATCACTTTATCAAATATTGGCAGACCATAAAATGTGCACTGATATCATCCAAAAAAAAAACAACAACATCCAAATGCATCGCAAAAACATAAGAGAACCTAAAAAAAATAGAGCTGTTTTCCTAAAACACTAACAGTTTAAGTTTTCCAGAAAGTTTTATTTACATTTCATCAAAAGGTGTCATGTCCAAAATTATTCATACCCTTTACAAACTGTCACAGTCTCTGGGAAAATCCAAAGTTCTATATTATTCCCAAAAATCCAAGATGTTCTAAAGCATCCTAAATACCCTGATTAATTGGGAATAGTTGTTTTAATCAGCTCAACAGGTGAAAAAGAGCAGTTCTCTGCAGTTGGCTTGTGGACAGTCATGGCTGGGACAAAGAAGCTCAGGGAGGACCTGCGGCTTTGCATTGTGGCTGTTCACAAGTCAGGAAGGGGCTACAAGGCCATATCTAAATGTTTTCAAGTTCCAGTGGCTACAGTGCAAAGTATTATTAAAAAATACAAGGTGTTCCACACTGTGGAAAATTGCAGAGGACGTGGTTGGAAGCCAAAAATAACACCTGTGTTGGCGAGGAGGATAGTGAGAGAGGTGAAAATGAATCACCACCAAGGCCATCCTGGTGAATCTGTGCTCTGCTGGTGACAGTGTCTCAAGGCAGGCACTCCAACGGACTCTGACACTGCTTGGTTCCATGAATGCAGACCAAGGAGGACGCCACTTCTCCAGATAAGGCACACAAAAGCCCGTCTGGCCTTTGTAAAGGGTCATCTGGACAAAGAAGACGACTTCTGGTCTTCTGTGTTATGGTCAGATGAAATAAAAATTTAATTGTTTGTCCACAATGATGTTTCCTTCATTTAGTGTGAAAAATGAGAAGCCTTCCACCTCAAGGAGACCATCCCCACTGTCATGTGGGAACCTAATGCTTTGGGGGTGTTTTGATGGACCAGGGACCCTAATCGCAGTAAATGGCACCATGGAAGAAAGAGCATATACACTCAACAAAAATATAAACACAACACCTTTGTTACTGCTCCCATTCCCCATGGGATGGACGTAGAGAGACCTAAAATTCATTCCAGATACACAATATAACCATCCCTCCCAAATAGTGGTCACAAATCAGTCCAAATGTGTGGTAGTGGGCACATCTGCCATATTGAGATAATCCATCCCACCTCACAGGTGTGCCACATCAGGATGCTGATCTGACATCATGAGTAGTGCACTGGTGTACCTCAGACTGCCCACAACAAAAGGCCACCCTGGAATGTGCAGTTTTGTCTCACAGCAAAATGCCACAGATGCCACAAGCAATGAGGGAGCGTGCAATTGGCATGCTGACAGCAGGAATGTCAACCAGATCTGTCGCCCGTGCATTGAATGTTCATTTCTCAACCATAAGCCATCTCCACAGGCGTTTCAGAGAATATGGCAGCACATCCAACCGGCCTCACAACCGCAGACCTCGTGTAACCACACCAGCCCAGGACCTCCACATCCAGCAGGTTCACCTCCAAGAGCGTCTGAGACCAGCCACCCAGACAGCTGCTGGAACAATTGGTGTGCACAACCAAACAATTTCTGCACAAACTGTCAGAAACCGTCTCAGGGACGCTCAACTGCATGCCCGTCGTCCTCATCGGGGTCTTGACCTGACTCCAGCTCGTCGCCATAACAGACTTGTGTGGGCAAATGCTCACATTCGATGGCGTCTGGCACGTTGGAGAGGTGTGCGCTTCACGGATGAATCATGGTTCACATTGTTCAGGGCAGATGGCAGCTGAGAATGTCCCAGTTCTTGCATGGCCAGCATACTCACCGGACATGTCACCCATTGAGCATGTTCAGGATGTGCTTGACCGGCGTATACGACAGCGTGTACCAGTTCCCACGAATATCCAACAACCTCGCACAGCCATTGAAGTGGAGTGGACCAACATTCCACAGGCCACAATTGACAATCTGATAGACTCCATGCGACGATGTGTTGCACTGCATGAGGCAAATGGTGGTCACACCAGATACTGACCGGTTCTGGGTCCCCAGACCCTCAATAGCGCAAAAAACTGCACATTCCAGGGTGGCCTTTTGTTGTGGGCAGTCTGAGGTACACCTGTGCACTACTCATGATGTCAGATCAGCATCCTGATGTGGCACACCTGTGAGGTGGGATGGATTATCTCAATATAGCAGATGTGCCCACTACCACACATTTGGACTGATTTGTGACCACTGTTTGGGAGGGATGGTTATATTGTGTATCTGGAATGAATTTTAGGTCTCTACGTCCATCCCATGGGGAATGGGAGCAGTAACAAAGATGTTGCGTTTATATTTTTGTTGAGTGTATATCGGACAGGTTTGATTACACAGAGCTGCCAGATGTGCCAACTCAAATCTGCGTCAAAATATAAGCATCCATTTGCTTGGCATGTTGATCACAGGCACACCAGTGAGTTTGTGAGCAAAATTACTAGATTTTGAGTGGGAAAATTTCCACATCCTTTTTGTATCTTCTGTATTTAACTACAGTTCAAAGGTTTCAAACAACGTTGAGCTGCCACTTAACAGTTTATCTCTTGGCTGGACACTCAGCACCTTGTGTGTAATCCAAAGCATTTACACGCTAAATCTGAGACGCCCAAACAAAACCGACACTTTGTCCACCGTCTGCCAAGAAAGAGGGATCAGACTGAAGCTCCAGTATGCCAGCTTACCAATAGGCTCCTATTTAAAAGGGGGACAATGCTGCATTCCAGACTTTGAAAACCTCTCAAAAACATTTGAACATATGATTGCTTCTTCTCACACAAAACAAAAACAGTGGCAAGGATATTTCCTCACAATGTTTGCAGCAAAGGACAAAATGCAAGAAAGTCTTCATCTGCACTGCTTAAAGAAAATGCACTAATGGATGAAAATTGAATATAAATGTCAAATTTACTGAGCTTACCTTTAAACTGAGTTGACTTTAAAAGCCGTTGTTTCCTGACAGATAAATGAAAGGTAGGATGCAAAAGTCTTTCTTCTCTGATCACGTTACCCACAGCTTAATACCGACAGGCTTCCTGTTCTCTTAGCTCCTCCTACAGACCAAACTAGACTCTCAGCTTGCTACTGTTGGTCGTTGTGGATATATGAAGTACATTTAGAATACAGCACTGGATGTCTATGTTCATATTACACAGTCTCCTTTTCAGACTGGACAAACTTCCCCACAATACCTCCATCACTCGATGTCGAGTCATGACTGATCATCATATACAGCTTTTCAAATGTCAATATTGAGCCTGAATCGCTCTAAACTTTTTTGCTTGCCCCTTCTGCTTTTACAAATTTCATCTTTTGATTCTTGCATGTGGCATGATGCTACTGTAGTGTTTCTGTTGTTCATAAGAAGACGACCATGGTGGCAACAAAAGTTATTGCAACACAGATAAATTTGACTACTCTGCTTAGGCAACAGTTGGATTTCCATTTGTACTGAAGCGAGACCTGCAAGACAGAGATGGGGTGGGGGTCCAGAGTCTGTTTCAAGTACTTAAAAAAAAATTGGAAATCATGAAATAAGGATGACTTCAACTTACAGCGGGTAGTGCATTATAGAGCTGGGATCATGTTTTAGGTTTTGAGTGTTTCCATGCTTCACCTTGAGGTTATTTTCTTTCCCTTTAAGGAAAAAGACTAATGGTTGAATAAACAGAACAAATGGCTCAGAAGTGCATTTTTTTGTTTATTGCTGCGCGTAGGTATCCCGATATTTAGCCTGCTCCGGCCGTTTGTTTTAGAGGAGCTGCAATACCAACCATCCTGGGATTTACAAAGGAGTAAAGAAAAATTAAATTAGTAAAGGAATTCATATTCTACTAATGTAAAGTAATCCAAGTCACTCAATGAACACCAACCTGCAGCTGAGCTGGTGGCATTCACGGTTCTATTGTGTCACAATAGAAGTGTTAGAAATTCTTTAAGTCATCATTGTGTTCTAGCAAATCTAAAAATAGTGCAAGTGCATTAACTGATCACCAGTCTGGAGCAGAGCTGGTGGCATTGTGGCTGCAATTTTAAACAAAAGAAAAACAAATAAAAGCATAATCTGAAGGAGACACATCCAAAAATCTATCATATCATATTAGAACTCTTAAAATAAGTGGAATTGCTGCATATTTCATACCGCATCCACTCTGAAATCTACATGCATGTAGTCTGCACCAACATCCAACCTGATAAGTATCTTTAGAAAAAATAAAATAAAAAGGACACCAACTGAAAGTTAAACTTTAAACATAAATACACTTTAAATGTTACTTATTATAAATAAAAATAACCTCTAGAGCAGTGGTGTCCAAACCCAGGCCTCGAGGGCTGGTGTCCTGCAGGTTTTAGAGGTGTTCTTGATCCATTACAGCCGATTTAAATGGCTAAATTTAAATCGGCAGGTTTGGCCATCACACAGTAGAACAAATTCTCTTAAATAAAAATGAGAAAGGGCTACTTTAAATGTATCATGTTTTTAATTTGCAAGTTCATAAGCATTTTCCCTTTCCATTTCACAATCAATTCTACCCCCAGATCAAAAATATGTCTGGGAAAATGTCCCTAATATAATATTATTTATAAATACACCCATCTAGTGGTTAATTGCATGGATGCAGGACCTCACAGCAGAAGCATACTCCATAATGTGTTGTACATTATATGTAATGTGGTATTTTTCAATTATTGTATTTACCAACATCAAGAAGACATAAGCAAAGAAAGACCACACAATGGTGCATGTTTAAACAAGGAGAGTTTACTGGTCAAATTTATTAAACAAAAACTACTTTTTTTTTTTTAAACCACCAACAAATACACGTTCAAAGCAACAACGGCAGCCCAATATCAGACAGAATTCCACTCTGCAGAGTGAGCAATCGTTATGAAGCAGTTGGTTTGGTTGGTCTTTTGTGGATTCAAGCTGCTCTTCATATTTTTGGCCAGCAGATGTCACCAGAGGACTGTGTTGAAAAGCTTCGAGTAATGAACAGTTTTTTCAATACAAGCTTCAGAAAGTGTCATTTGGCCATCACTAATTATTAATATTCAGCTAAAAAAAATCCACACTTTGTAGTACGTATGTTTTTATGCTGTACCTGTTGACATGCAGAAGGCAGCCAGCAGCCGCAGAAGGCAGCAAGGAATCTTTTGAGAAAGAAAAGTTGTAAAAGCTTTTGTCTCTCGGATATATACATGTTACTTTCTCCACAGGTGTCATCACTTCCACTGATTACAGCGTTGCAAATTACAATTAAACCACAAGATGATGCTACATTATTCCTGTTTGGCTGTGATAGAAGAGACATTTTACAGGGAGGCGACATGACACTCAATCTTGAACTGGTATTATGGGAGAGACAGCAAAATGTCATTTATTATGCATTTGAGCTGAAGGGGAAACTCCTGAGATTAATAATTGATTTTTTCTTTACCCTTCTGAACCAATCTATAAAATAATACACTGGGTATAGAATTTTTTGTGAAAGTATCATGTCTTTTTTTTTTATGAAAACATGTTATGTCATGTATTTGTTCTCTAATGCCCTTCCTATGTGGAAGTCATGGGAATCTAATGTGCTTGCAAAAGATGTGTATTCCCCCTGTGAATCTGTCCAATAAAATCCAAATAAACAAGAACTACCTTTAAAGGACCCTCATAGCTCTCGAACTCTTCATATGTATTCTGGAGATATGACTGCTTAAATGAATATTTGAATGATTACTGGAAAAGTATTTTAAAATGACTGCTGTGCAGCATAGTGATGTAGTGATTAACACTGTTGGCTCACAGCAAGGTGTTGGGTTGAATACACTAGCTGAAGGATTTCATATTTGTGTGGTGTCTCTCCACTTCCTCCCATGATGCAAAGATTTGCCTGGGTTAGGTTATGGTAACAATAACAACAGTGTTAAGACAAACTACTCCTGTCAGGCAGGAGGTACTGCAGTATCCGACCTAAGATAAGACCTGAAAGAAATTTCAGGGTTGCTTTTGTCTGTAGTTTGTGCCACATTTACTGTCAATTCAACATGTAACGGTTATAAAATGAAACACGCAATCGTTTAGTTTCACAATTTTCCACAGCTGTAGAGTTTATTCAATCTTTCTATGTCCAGCTGGCTCAGATGTTTCCTCTGACCTATTTCCACACCACTCTGCTTAGGCAACACAGTTGGATTTCCATTTGTACTGAAGAAATCCCTGCAAGACCAGGGGGGAGGGTAAACTTATCTGGAGTCGGTTTCAAGTACTTTAAAATTAGAAAATAAAATGAGGAAGTCGTCAACTTACCGCCCGTAGTGCATTATGGACGCGAGATCATATGGTAGGTTTTGAGTGTTTCCATGCTTCACCTTGAAGTTATTTTCTTTACCTTTAAGGAAAAAGAAATCCAAAATGGCATAGTTGAACATGATGCACCTACTGTATCACAATAATAGCCAAAGTAATTTCTTCATACTCAAGTTAATGTTCCTTTTTTGATGTGCATTACAAGAGACAGTTCTTGTTTCAAGAAGATGAAGGCTTTGACAAGGAGGGACTGAGCTGGCAGGAGAGGATCTTAACATTCATGTGCACAAAGTCGTACTTTACATTCCATCAACACCACTGGGGGCATATTTTCCATTATACAAACCAAGAGGTCTCACTTTTACTGACCAAAGACTTCAATTGCATCCAAAGGAACTGGGCTGAGTGAACAATCTGGATACAACTTGTTTTTAACTGCATTACAACTAATGCAAAAAGCAAACAAGCTTGTGTACCTGCCACAATATTCTGCCAGTTCACTGTGACATATTTATCCCGGTCTTCACGAGTGTGTTCATGATACAGTCCCAGAGCATGGAGCAGTTCATGGCAAAGGTTCCCCACGGTGCACTCTGAAGCAAAGAAGAGCTGCTGGGCTCCTCCTTGACAACCAACGAATGAGGCACAGCTAGGCGCAAAATAAATAAATGTTAGAGTTCAACCACTCAGTTCTGACCTGAGATTCTCCCTTAATGTCTGAATATATGGATAATGGAGGCTGAAGCCAAAATGTACCAAATTTGAGTCACAAACTAGTAATAAGATTAAATAATTGTTGGGTAGGCTTTAATGAGTGCCTACTTTATGGGCTTTCATTTTGCTGCCAAACATGTTGTTTCCCCATCTATTAATCTTTCATTAAAGCTTTTCTTCCCCATCCCTTTCTAGTATCCAGTGTTCAAGTCTCTAGTGAAACCACCACAGTATAAAATGGGATTGAATGATTGAAGCCTTTAGAGACAGACCTGTAATAAAAACAGGAGTGGCAAAGGGCAGGCCCGCAAATGCTGGAAGTTTCTGATTTTCCTTACTGTTGCTTTGCCATAACAAATTGTTTCCAAGGAAACAATTTGTTATGGCAATTTCCTGTACTGCTTCATCTTTAACAAAATAACAAACCTACCCAGAGATAGTTGACTTCTTACCCATTGCCAGTCACAAGCTTCAAATAGCTCGACTCGGTGTCTCGTTTCTTAAAACGAATACATGTGACATCCGATATCATCTTAAAGGCAGCTTTAATTTCTGCCTCTCGGGAAACTGTTGGAGTCAAAACCAAATCAGTTATCATTCAGTAATCAAATATCTGGTCCTATTTAAGGGACAACAACCTACCCAGTTCATCAGTGATGATGTAAGAGGTGGTGGCATCCGGCCACAGAGTGTGTACAGCATTTCTGCTCTCCTGCAAGTTTAAACATACAGCAATCAGCAGTACCACACAAAACATAAACAAATATAAAAACCCCTCCATCTTACCGGAATTAGAATGTCTCCCTCCTGGACTGGCATGTCTTGATCAAACTCTGACAAAGTGCAGGATTTAAAAATCAGAAAAAGTAGTGTGGAGCAGGGAAATTATTTTACTGCTATTGTTAAATAATAATATAATCTGTAGTTTATATTGTATTCAGAGGTTTAAACAGTGTGCGTCTTTTAGAAAGACTAAGTGCAGCAGTTGACAGGAAGTTGCAGAAGTGAAAGCCAAGTCTTAAGTTATTTTGAGCAGCAGGCTAGACGAGGCTATTTGAATTACTAGGTTATTCAAATTGATCATAGCTTTAACAATGTAACAGATAGCTTTAAGATGGCCTTAAGATGTTTATGCATACGTTATCATATTAACTTTGTATTTCAGATGCAGTTATAACTATTTTATACACATTGCATATCTGTGCTTATTTTGAGTTGATGTTTGGTTCATTAAGGGTCTTAAGCTTCACTGGCGTGACTGTCCAGGTGATACATGCTGAGGGAAACGAGAACATAGAAGGAATTGCAATAC